GATATCAAGGAGGTCAAGACGAAGGAGAATGATTTGACAGTGATTGTGGTAACAAGTGCACACTACAGCTTGATGTGACTGAACTATGGAATGTCGCCCTATCTGAAGGAGCTCCCACCCAGTAAAATGATTAAAAAATAAAAGCTTGGTGATGAGAACCCACCAGAAACTCCACGGGAGAAAGATGAGGCTGGCTGCTTTCTTAAAGATTCACCACCTCAGAAACCCAGCAGGGCAATCCTACTCTGTCCTAAAGGGTGGAAACTAGCAGAACATTGAGGGGAAGGGGGTGTTTCTGTGTGTGTTGGGGGTGGTGGTGTAGTGCTTAGTCTTTGGCTGCTAAACACAAGGTCCACAGTTCGAAATCACCAGCTACTCCACAGGATAAAGATTGGGCTTTCTACTGCCTTCAAGAGTTGCAGTCTCAGAAACCCACAGGGCCCTGTCTACCCTGCCCTTGAGGATTGCTAAGGGTGGCCATCCGCTTGAGTTTGGGTTTGTTTTTATTTTTGTTTATGCTTTTTTGATCTACTTTTGAAAATGAAAACAGCTCTCCCTGGAAAACTCCTATGGACAGCAGTTGGACTGGGACAAGCCTACAGGGTTCCCAGGAATTGGGGGTCCACCCCACAGCCCCAGCTTTGTTAGTTTCCCTTCCGCCTCTGGGAATTGTGTCCTGTGGGTTGAGGGGAGCGCCCCATGGGGCTGGCATTGGACTTCGTGTGGGAAAGGCGGTGGCTCCACCTGGCCCTGGCCTTGGCCCAGGCTCGGAGGGCGGGCGCGGGTGGGGTGTGCGGGCCTGCCCGTGTTCCTGAGGAAGGCCAGCTGGACACCCCGGAGTCTAAGCAGTGACTTGGCCCCCTTCCCCGGCTAGTTGTCCAGAGCTAGGGGTGATTGGGACACGGAGGGGAAGATGCTGCCGCGCTGCATTCCTTCACTCCCCCAGTGTCCACCGGAGCAGCGCGGCTTGCTCCTCGCCACCAGCTCGGTCTATTCAGAAGTGGAACAAAAAGGGAGGTGTCGGGTTCGCTTTGAAGGGCTGTTCTCGGGCCCGGCAGAAATGTGTTTCTATTTTAAACATAATCAACTTAAAAAATGTGTCATACCCTTCTCAAAAGAGTCCAATATGGGCCTCTAAAAATAGCTTCCTTTGTTTGGCTGGGGGTGGGGTGGGGGCGGGGG